TCGAATTGAACTGAACTCGGTGTGTCTCTTCCACCACCATCTTCGCCTCGGAATCGCTTTGCTCAGCATCGAATCCATAATGCTGATGTCGAATCCATAACGATGATTCATTCTTGAATTCACTAAAGTTTCAAGTTCAAGTTCCTCGAAATCCACCGATGAAGAAATCGGCTTGAATTTATCCAAATCCACTCTATTTAAAAATTAAATCAGACAGATTCAAATGTGATTGGATAGTCAAAGTGAATTTTGTTACACATATAATATTAATTTTCCTTGAAATTTGAAAAAAAATATATTGAATCCTATAAGTTTGGCAAAAAGACATCGACTTTTTTATGGTAAAATTAAAGCAGTTAGAAGATGGTGTAAAAATGCATGAATAAATAAGATAAAATATATATTTAAGTATAAAGAAAATGATAATATTATTTTTTATTTATTTATATGAATTATTTATAAAAAATAATAAATAAATAAATAAATAAAGGTAATTGTTATATGAAGTAAACCTACTTGTGAATAGGGGTGTGCGCTCGTCTGTTTGGATTGGTTTTTGGAAAAGGAAAAAATAAAAAAAATAACCATTAACCAAACCATTTTTGGAAGATTGATAATTTTTCAACCTACTAGCAACTCACCCATCCTCAAAGCCAACAAGTTGAATATTTTGACAATTTTGAAGTAACAGTTGAAATAGAAACACAAAATGATTAATATAACCTCTCTTTTTTTTTCTTTTTTCTTTTGACAATTTGAAACAAAAACATTATTATTTATTTCAAATCATGATACGAAACTCACAAATTAATCAAATGTATAATATTATTCACAATCATATTTCACAAATTGATATAGAAAGCAATCAAATTGGAGAAAAAAAATGCAATGAAAACAAGGTTATTAAAATCGGGATCCTACATTGGATCGTTAGAGGTGTTTATAGGATTGGATCGTAGAATCGGATCGAGAATCGTAAGATCCTACTGAAAAAGGCAAATTACGTAATAATTTAATTTAAATAAACATTTCTTAAAAGGTATACCCAAAACAAGCCTATATTCTACTAAAAAGAAGTGAAGATATTGTGAAACATATAATACTCCATATAAAATGTAATTATAATATTACATTATAGAAAACTTGATGGTAAAAGTTTTGCATTTCATTAAAAAAGAAGGTGAAGAAAAAGAATTTTATAACATAATACTTACAATATGCATAAAAAGTGAAGAAACAATATTTAACAGAGTCAGATATGAAAATAAATTGAGAAGTTAAAAGAGCGGCTTAACTGAATGATAAGGTTTGTCATTAGCATTCCTTATGGAGCGGGTTCAAGTCACGAAAATTGTGTCTCCAAAAATTAGGGTAAAATTGCAATCAATTTATCCTCCTTAGACCCAACTAAAGCTAAGTTTGTTTTCTCGACTACTTTAGTTTTCTTAAATTGGTATTATATTTTTTTGGGTAAATAAAATTGATATTATATTAAATGTTTGTTTCCTAATTTGTTTAGTAAATTCAAGCTTTTTTTTTTTTAATATTAATTTGAAGTACATAAATTGATATTTAGATAACAAACATAAATTTTACAATAAAATAGATTATACAATATAAAACAAGGCTTACAAATTGGATCGGATAGGATAGGATCAGATTCGGATCGGGATTCCACGATCCTATGAGATCCCATTACCAGGATCGAAAGATCCTACCTATAAGGGATTTTTTACACAATCCGGATCGATTATGCCCAAATGGATCGTAAGATCGTAGGATCGTAAGATCCGGATTGGAATTCTGATAACCATGAATGAAAATGAGAGGTACATATCATCTGATTTAGGGTTAGGGGAAAAATCAAAGAGCATCAAAACATGAGATAACAATTATATGGGCTGGTTAGGCCGATTTGTCAACGATTTGCAGATTTTAACTTGTCGGTCTACCAATCCATCCAACCCAACCCAACCCAACCTAACTCGCTCACATTCTCAAATTGTACGGGTGGGATTGAGGTGGTTTGGGTTGACGTGGTTTGACAATTCTGCCATTTATTTTTTGTGTAACTTCTCAAATACTTGTGAGTCTAGTGTTTATTTGGACTGATGTAGATTTCAAATCAAGAAATTTATAGTTAAAAATGTTAAAGAGTTAGTTATTAAGTTGGAGCAGAAAATTATAAAAATAAAAGATAAGTTGAGATAAATTAGATATATCTTAATAACATCCTTGTAATTAGAAAAAATTATTAACATAGTTTTAAGTAATTACTTTTTATAATTATTATTAATTGATCATGATAAAACTATTTAATTCAATTTTAAACTATCAAGTTTAAATTTGAAATATCCTCCTTCAATGATTAATATCCAATTCATACATTTCAAATCCACTTCCAAATAGACCCTAAATGTATTTATTTTATTTTATTTTATTTTATTCAAATTTTAAGCAAGATTAGTATAATTTGTCTGAAAAACAAATAAATCTTTTGGCGTAGAAACTTGTAGCTAAAAACAGTTTTCTATGTTTCACTGTTTCATCTAAAATTGAATACTGAGAGCATCTCCAACGGTGTACCAAATGTTTCACCAAATCTGAGTCAAAAATGGGTCATTTCTTTAATTTGATACTTCGCGCTCCAACGGTTCAACATCAAATTCGTTTCATCAAATTTGTGCTGGGCGACCGGTTGGTTGACCGGCCGGTCAACCGGTAACGGCAAAAACAAATAAATCTCCGTTTGGGAAGTGGGTTGGCTTTTTGACTTTTTGGCTTTTTGACTATTTTAGCCTGGGCTATTTTAGCCTGGTTTGGGAAGGGCTTTTTGGCTTTTTTGGCTTTTTTTGTGAGAGGAAATTGTAATGATTATGGGTTGGATTTGATGTTTTGTTTTTTGTGGCTAAAATAATCTATTTTGTTTTTTGTGGCTATTTTAGCCAAAAAAGCCTGGCTTTTTGCTTGCCAAACGGAGGCTGTTTTCTATGTTTCACTGTTTCATCTAACATTGAATACTGAATGGATGTTTGAGATTGGTTTGTTTTTAGTAACCTTTTGTTGACTTCTGTTTTTTATTTTTAGTAAATTCTTCTTTTTTAAAATATTTTGAAAGAGCTTTACACTTTTAGATTCTACTTAGCTGGAGGAATAAAAAAAAGATAACAAAAGAATTAAATGTTTAAAAAAGAAAAAAGTTTACTAAAGACAAAAAATAAAAAAAAATGAAAGTTGGGTTTTTTTTAGCTTTTTTTTTAATCTTTACTGGTGAACTTTTTTTAGACTTTTTTATATTAAAAAAATTATTTTTTAGATTCTTTTACACTAGATAACCTGGAAAAAAAAATTATCACAAATTCTTTTTAAAAAAAAAGTCAATAAAAATAAAAATAAAATTGTTAACTTTTTTAGCTGAGTGCCAAATAAAGCCTAATTGCATCGAATCACTTACAAACTAAATTACTAACTATTTTATCAATTACAAATAAAAAATAATTAGTAATTTAATTTGTATTTTTTTATTATTTAAATATCATCCAAAAGAACAATAATGTTAACATCACCCTTTTATTTACCATAATTTATTTATCTCAAAGTCAAATGGGCCAACCTAACCCTCAATCAAAAAGTAGTATAGGAAAATTCTTTTGAAGACCATACAACTTTTGTCAAAATAATGTAAAATTATTCACTAAAAAATAACAAGTGCAGCAGCTTCTTAGATTTCCCTTATATATATATATATATATATATATATTTATTTATTATTATAAAATCCAAAAATCTTTAAAATATTCACTAAAAATAAAAAAACACAAAAACCAAAAAAGTCAATTTTTAAAAAACTTAATCCAGAAAACTCAAACCAAACACAGTGAATATGATTTTGATATTATTTTTTCTAATATTCCCTCCGTCCCAAAATATTAGTCCCTTATTCCATTTTTCATTATCCCAAAATATTAGTCCCTCTTTATAAATCAAGTACAAAAATAATGTAAATTTCCTATTTTGCCCTTCTTTTAAATTAATAAACAATTTAAAAAGTACAATTATGACATTGATATTCCCAAAAAATGTACTATCAAAAGGGTAACTTTGGAAAATCAACTTTTTTCAAATGCAATAAGTGTACTACCAAAAAAAGTTGAATTCCCCAAAAGGGACCAATATTTTGGGACGGAGGGAGTATATAAAGATGATGGGATAACTTATAAAAGTAAATAAACTCATTATCGTATTCAAATTATTGCCAAATCAATTTGGAGTTTACTTTTTTTTAATTTATTAACTTTTTACGAAAAGATATTAAAAAAATAAAAAAAATAATGTGACAAATTATAACAAATAAGCTAGGCCTATTTTTAAAAGTAGAAAAAAAGGAGTCAACTTTTTTTTAAAAAAATGTATAAAAAAATAAAGAAATAATATGATCCAAATATACTAACAAATTAACTCGTTTTTTTTTTTAATTACCAAAATAAGCCGCGCTCTTCAAACCACGCATAACAAGTCAATTTTAAACATATTTTTTAACAAACTAAACATGAATCGAGCTAACTTATTCGAAGCAACCAAAAACAAATATTCCAAACATCTTAACATAACCTGCAGAAGATCACTGAGATAGATTTCAAGCTTGACTTGAAAAATCAAAGAGCATCAAAACATGAGATAACAATTCAATATAAAATAAGAAAAAAATTACAGATTAATTATAAACTTTATAAACATTAATAATTATACTTCTAAACTTTTTCATATATTTGTAAAATAAAAAATAAAAAGCCCATTGGATTGTAATTTTCCAATCAAAATATACTTAAATTTGACTTATTTACTTTTCAAACCAATAACAAACCAATTTTAATTAAATTGAGGTTGAATAACTCAATTTTTATAACACACAACTTAGGTTGAATAACTCAATAACAAACCAATTTTCCAACAACTATGTACTTCCTGGTATTCCAAATTAAAAAATGAACAAATAAACAAATATGAAGCAAGATAGATAGGACCCATCAAATTTTGTGGCAATCCCAATCTTCCTGTAAAATAAAAGAATATGCATCCATTGAAATAGTAATTACCACAGCTGAACAAGGTAGAATAATGTGCATCAACATGAAGCACAATGACTCAAAACTATCATTTGCTTATTAGCACCAAAACTTTTTCTTCCCCCACCTTTTTTTTTTTTATAAATAACATTCTAGGTCCATAACTTTCTCAGCTGCACTTCCAAATCCAATCTGATCTTTGCTAACTCAAACTAATAATAATGACGTTCCAATACAAACGAACTGTCAAATATTCGAGTCTAAAAATTGCAGGGAAAAAAATTATCCAAAGAGTCGTCAATATCAAAAACCAGCAATCATTTGTTGTCGTTGGAATGCCATGAACAAAAAACGGCTTCCTATTGGGTCGAATTCTATCTGTTCAAGCTAATGGATGCCGCCTCCTGCAATTTTTCAAAGTGATCCATCAAACATAGAAATGAAGCACCTCAAAATATAGACCAAAGATGTAAATTGCTGAGCTTACTTATGTTTCTGACTTCTGAGTATAACTCATCAGTTTCACAATGGTGTGTCTGCAATTGGCTTTTTATTTTATTTTTTTAACTTCTTTTGTCATTAGTGAACTCCTTTTTTTAAAAAATAAAATAAAATAAAATCCAAAAACTTTACACCCTTATGGTTGGTTTGGCATAAACTAAAGAGCAATGGTAGAGGGCCACAAAAAGTGTGGCTCAAATGGCTCAAAACTGCCAAAACGACGTCGATTTGACATTTTATTTGCCCAAAACGACGTCGTTTTGACAGTTTTGAGCCATTTGAGCCACACTTTTTGTGGCTCTCAAACATTTTTCTAAACTAAATAATACAAAAAGTCAAAAAGTCACTATCCTATTTAAGTCACATCATCTATTTAAATCACATCACCTCTCTAACACATCACATCAAACCCAACCCAAACCCAACCCATATAAGCCAATAAGTCAAAAAGTGCACTTTTTTAGAACATCCCAAACCAACCCTTAGTTTCTACTTGACTAGACAGACGAGATAAGTTTAAAAAAATAAAAAGTGGGGAAAAACAAAAAACAAAAAAACTTTGCTTTTTTTGTCTTTAGTGAATCTTTTTTTTTAGACTTTTCAATTTTCTTTTAGTTTCTAGATTCTTCTATCCTGGATGGACGGGAAAAAATTTGACACAAATTTGGGGAAAAAATCTCTAAAGACAACAACGTGACTTTAAGGTTGATCCCAAATTCATTAGATTTTTCCCCTCCATATTTTGACGAGTTTACATGAATCAATCTCATATCATCCATGCACTTAATTTGGGAAAGAAACATCGAACAATTTGGACACTCCCCTAAATAAATTAATGCAATTTAATCAAATTATTGGAATTTGCATCCCTCAGCTAAATTACTGGTCAAAAAAAGACATGGAAATAAATTTAGAATCATACCCTCATTTGATGAGACAATTCATGGCTGAAAATGAACTACTTGGGGAAGTAGAGTGTTCTGAATTACCTCTTGGGGCGGCTTCGCTCTTCCTCATAGTCCATCACTCCACCAGGTTCAGAGAAGATTTCCTCATGCCCTCGGAAGTCAATGTCGGCCTGCTTACAGTGTGTAACTTCTGCCACAACGTAAGTAAGGCACATCGAGCAACATACCACAGCAATTCAATTAAGACTTGTTTTTAAGTCTCTTTTTTGATAAAATCATAACTACTTGAAAAATTTTAGAATAAATTACAAATACACCTCCTGAAATTTGTTTAAAATACGAATTACCTCCTGTGGTTCTTAAAATTACAAATACCCCCTTATCAAAAAAAAAAAAAAAATTTAACCGAAAAAATGAAATTCCTAACTACTTTCATAGACAACAATAAAATTACCGAAATTGTTAACTGAAATATATTTCTAACATCATTAAAAACGGTTAATTGACTTAATGATTTATTAATAAAAAGAGTAATTTGTTATGCGATTAGAAATTTAAAGGGGGCAGGATGTAGTTTCCAAAACCATTAGGGGCAATTCATAGAAACAAACCTCAGGTGGCGTATTTGTAATTTATCTAAATTTTTAATAATAATAATAATAATAAGGTTCTGGGTATAACAGTCACCAATTTCAAGACAGACTTGCTGATTTTACTAAAAAATAAAAACAATGCAGACTTCAGGTCCAAAATAGACTGCCCACCCTCTCTCTATTCTCCACTCCTAACTCCTTAGCACACATTAAATAAATATATATCTTTTTTTTTCCCCTATCATATCCCATGTTAATTTAGGTCTCCAATCCACCCTCTCTCTATTCTCCACTCCTGTCTTCATTGTACGTGATCAAATCACCTCCTCCTATTCTCTCTCTCTCTCTCAACTTATCCTCAATTAGTATTACTCTTACCGTTTCATGAATTTAACTCTCTTTCTTCCCCACCACTTCCCTGCTTGCTTCGATGGTGGGCTTCCCTCCATTTGTCCCACCCTACCCTAACCTACAGTTCTACATAATTTCCTAGAAATTTGTTGATCATCAATCACTCATGGGAGTCCATGGACGTAGAGCAGTGATCCCAGCAGTAAGGGTATTCTCAGGTAAGGTCTAGTGAAGTGGCTGCACGGTAGGGCTAAGACTATGATAAGAATGTAAACTGTGAACATAGCAGGGAATGTTACAATCAGCATTCTTTCCTAAGTCGTGTAACTGGTGATTGAACACGGTTGCCAAATACATGGGATTGCTGAACCCTTGTGAGAGGAGGTTATCAAAAATTGAAAAAAGTCCTTGGCACTAGATTTCCAAGAGAGACAGACAGACAGGCAGGCAGAGAGACACACAGAGAGAGAGAGAGAGAGAGAGAGTAGGGTGACCTGTTCCCTGAAGGCCAAGACTAAAGCTGACAAATTTCAAATTACTAATCTGCCCCTACGGTTATCGTATAGGAGCACATTTTGTTTTCCATGTTATTGTATATTTTAGCCTATTCTTGAAGCACGTACCAACTTAGTAAGAACCCACATGCATAATATCAAATAATTTCATTTCTCCAATTCCATCGGCATGAGGCACACAACATGGCGCTACACTAATATTATTCCATGTTGTAACCCTTCCTCTACTACCATGAAGTCTTTTTTCTTCATTAGAAGTTTTTATTGCATGCTTGACTTATTTTTGGACAAGCACAATTAGGATGGCAAAAAAAATTAGCCACACGGGATATGTCTAATGCATTCAACAAGTGTCACACAGTTGTGTCCAATTCAGAAATGGATCTCCCTCCCTCCTGCTGTATTACCTCTCTTCATCCTTTTACTTCACTCTATCTTTCACATATATTGAAATAATAAATCAGAATGTCTGTTTGGCCACCATGTGTTCAAAGAAATTTTCATGAAGTTCTGCATTCACCAAACCATCTTCCTCGGTTTCTAAAGTCATCAGTCAAGTTTTTTCCACACCTCTACCCTCATCATTAAAGGATATATACGTTCAAGCTTCCAAATTTGACAGGATGTGAGAAACAAACAAGGGCATGTTGAAATTGGGAAAGAGGGTACATGCTCTATCACTTTGTAATGAGGCCAATGTTTTCCCTTATGACTGTCTTGTTTTGTTATTACTTGAATTGAGAAAATTTGAATACCTTTGAATACTTTAATAGACAAAATATAAGAGTTGCATCCCATAAGACATACAACAACCAGAAGGGAAGCATGCACTCTATATACTGACTGTTATTTATTGGAAAAAAATAAAAAAATAAAAAAATAAAAAATAAAATAAAAAAAAAGGGAACAGTAACATGGAAGAAAAAACCAGATTCACCTGACCTTCAAGGAGAGTGACTTCTTTATTTCATCAACCCTCTCTTCCACTTCCTTTCTGTGCTTCTTGTCCAACTCACTCATGGTATCCGCCCATTTTATCTTCTCTTGAATTGTGATAAGAAGATTATCTGATGTAGTCAACCTATGTTTTCAGTCAAAATGAATACTCTGTAATTGGCATATAAAGATGTATTATTTTTAAATAAACTACAGAAGTTAAAAAATGTACAAATAAATCAAGGTCTTTTGCAAGAAAGAAGCTCAACCTATATATTAGCATGTCCCACATTCATAACAAAGAGATTAGAGACCACATTGCTTGAACCTCCTAAAAGGACAAATCAAATGCTTACAAATTGAGGACTAAAAAAGGCCCTCCTTCATAAAATTAAGTTCGAATGAAGGAAAAAAAAAAAAAAAGAAAGAAGAAGATAGTGTGACATTAAACTTTCAGGAGGTGGTCTTGCATTTGTAATAAGATAACTGTCTACCCATGCATAAAACTGTGATAGTATGTGGAGACATAAACATCATTAATCCCACCTATTACATCATAAAGATTTATTTCACTTCATGCGCTCAAGTGGTATTTAGTCTTTTATCTATAAAGAAAATTTATTAATTAAGGAGCTGGTTGATTAAACTGAAATTACTTAGTGAAAATTTTTAATGAGCTGGAATATAAGTGCTGAAAACTTTACTGAATTTGTGAATACCTAAGATAAAAATGTTTCTTTTATCAGCGAAGATTAAAAATAAATAAATAATAAAGTTGCTGGTAAAATTAATATTTGAAAAGGTTCTCTGAGGGTAGTCAGCCCTTCAAGATAAGTCAAGTTTCTGATACTTCAGGAGACCCTTTTAAGGGGATTTTCAGTTTTAAGTTGTAGCCTATAAAACATACACACAACAATTTCAGATTCAAGAACTTATTATCAAACAACTCTTAAGTCTCTCCAGTATTGATAAACATCATCCAATTAGGCAAGCAAGTTAAACAGTTTGACCACTAATAGGGTTTGACTTACAATGGTTCACATGAAACAATTTCATTGTAAATCAGCTTCTATCAACCACCAAATCCGCCTAAACTTTAATGGATCTGTCATTGGAGCTTTCCAAAGATTGAAGATAATGTTGAAAACATAACTTTCAACTCAACAATTGATGTGCCTTGTGGTTATTTATATAAATTATTTCCTTTTCTAGAATGTGAATTTCCTTATTATCATCTATTTCGAAGTGACATTAGCTGGTGACTTTGGATGTGGGGGACTCCAACCATGTCAGTCAAAGGGAAATCATCTTAGGTTTGACGCAAATATGAATTTAAGTTTAATCTTTACAGCTATTAAAAGTTGTACCCTCTTAGAAATGTCATGCTTTGGAGTTGTACCTTCACTCAAAATGTTGTTCATTATAATAATATTCAGCTTGTAAGGCCATACACCTTTCCCCCACAAAATCCTATCCTAAAATAACTAAAGACATGATTTTTTTTCATGCGCTTCAAGTGAAGGCAGAGCTGCAGCCATTCACACCTCCTCTGTCCTTTCTTCCTCTCTCTACTCTCTTGCGCTTTCTTCTTTTAGTCTTGTCGTATTGTTATGAACACATAATACATTTGCTAGAATCTTCTAGCGCAACCTACATGCTCCCCAATGATCCAGAGGCATGGAAGAACGGAAGGCACACTCCTGGGTGAGTTTCACCACTGCCTCCTTTTCTTCTTTTCCAAACCATTTCTAATCTATCTTTTGGTCATTCTTTACCCATTTATTGCATGCTGCTCACTCCTATTCCCACCTTCGTTCTCATGTTCCCTCTTATTTGAAGCAACTAGATACTTCTTGCCCATAGGCATAAGCAAAATCACCAATCCGCAACGCCGGTGCAGGTGCGGGTGCAGGAGCGGAAGTGGGAGCAGGAGTGGAAACGCCTTCAAAGCGTCTATCTATATATCCATTTATATATGTTATATTTATTATTAATCCATTTACAATATTTTATGTATTTGTTTTAAATAAAACTGCAACATTTACTGACACAAATTGAAATACAATTTATATACATTATTGTTATAATAAATTTAAAATGTAGAATATTGCTACAATAAATTTAAAATGTAGAATATTGTTATAATAAATTTAAAATGTAGAATATTATATACAGGTTAGGAACGTAGACTAGTGGTAAGGCTTTTTGTCCTCCAATCAAAGAAGCATAGACACAGACATGAACATAGATGCGAACACGGGGACAGCGATTTAAAAAAAAAAAATGGGGACACTGACACGGCAGGAACACAGTAATAAAATATGTTTTCGTATATTTTTATTTGCTATCTAGATTAATATTACATCCACAAATAGTCAATATGAACAAAAACTAACTCTAATTCTATATTTAATATTTGTATCTGTGTTGTTTTACTTTTTAAAATAAATAAATTAATTAACACTTACCTTTTATATCTTTTTTTAATGGATGATCTATTAAGTATTTAAATTTAAGAAAAAAATTACAAACATTTAACATTCATTAAAAGCACTAAAGAAAATGGGGGAAAAAGGCAAGTTGGCATGTCCCCAAAGTGTACCCGAAAAATAAATTAATTAAGGGGATACATCATGTGGCGTGTCTCATACGTGTCCCCGTCGTATCTATGTGTCCCTAAAGTATCTATGTATCCGACACAGATACAGCACTTGTTTTGAAGTGTCAGTGCTTCACAGCCTTCAATCATAGGTTGCATGTTCAATACTTGGTAGCAATCAACCAGCCACCCAATGCGAGAGAGAACTATTGTGTGATTTTCTTACTACCTGCTACACAAGTGGCAGCTAAGGGTTAGAGAAAACAAAATTCGTTTGAATTTGCAAATTGATCAATTCAACAAGCAGATTTGACAAGTTTTCATCATCAATTTGCGAATCCACACACCAATTTGTGATCCGTGACCTTCCTTACATGAATTAGATGACCTAGGGTTCGAGCCCTTCAAATGGAAGCCTAAGATTGCATTTGGTAGAGTTTTCTAAATATGATTTGAGAATAGAGTTGTGTTTTGAGTTTGTGAGTTTTGGAATTATGATTTGAATGTGGAAAATTTGTTTGGTGAAAGAGTTTTGAAAAGAGTTTTGAATTGAGTGGGAAATTTTTAATGTGACATGTGATATTTGATACAAAAACTTACAACTCATAACCAAACACACAACTCAAAATTCTATTAAAGTTCATAAAAAATTTCAAAAATTCAGAAAATATTTTTTATTGAATATATAAAAATTAACATGTGTCAATTGCGCAAAAAAAAAAAAAAAAAATGCACTGTTCCGATCAACCGACCGGATCACCGGTTAGCCCAAATTTTCCGGCCTTCAACCGCGTTTTCAAAAGTGAGTGGAATTAATTTTTGAAAATCATAAACAAACACCATGTTCAAATCAAGCTCTGGTTAATGTTCCAGAGCTCCACCAAACAAAGCCTAAACTTTTCTACCTTAAATTAATATTAGCCAGTGGACTTGTGAAATTTCTAATCATTAATGTTAAGTGTATTGCATAACCAAACTAATTTCAGTATTCTTCCATTTTTTTATTGACTATTATTGATTGTCACCTGTTGTAGATGATAGATTACTTAACTAACTGCTTAGAACCTGATTTACACAATTTCATTCTCCAAAGAAGGGAATAATACTCTAGATAGACCATAGGTTGCACCAATGACATACAGAATAACTTACCCACTAAAAGAGATTTGTAATACAAATGTAGTTTAAGAAAACATTACTATGCTTGACGAAATTTATAATAAGTATTAAAGTTGAATAGTGAGAGAGAGAGAGAGAACAAAATCTGAGAACCCCACAAGATGAAACCTTCTACAACCAACCAAAAGCTTACTACAAAAAATGGTTGTATCGATCATGAAACTGAACTAGTTATATATATGTGTGTGAAACTTAACTAGTTATCCAGAGTTCATGACATTGTAAAGCAAAGGAAATATCATCCTCCAGAGCTCAAGACATTTTCAAAGCCAAGATCACCAGCTTTAAATTGTCTTCAGAGTTATTTCTCATTATCCATATCTAGAGATACGTACATATGTCACAGAAAAGTTTAAAATCCAGTCGGATCCAGCATGATTGCATCAGAATCCAATTTGCAGTTCAGATAGTCATGTTTTTTAAATGAAGATCCTTCATTTGCAAACAGCTAGACTGTGTACTATAAGTCTATAACAATGAATCATTGTGCATTCCAACATTCAACCAAACGTCAACCAATGTGTGAACATAACTAGTTGAATTTTAAATAAATTAAACCGGAAATATTACCAGTTTGATAATGTTTGTATCATACTCCCCAGTTGCCCAGGTCTCAGATCCCTGCCTGCTGCAAATTGAACCTACACCCACCAAACAATTAAATTAAGTACCAATTACATGACTTGTATTAAAATACATGTCAATTTTAAATAAAAATCAATTGGGGACAATGAGTTCAAACCTCAAAGCATCTTCGCAACTGATCTAACTTCCCTCTGACTATGCCCTACAAAAAATTCAAAAGTCGGCACATTTTTACTTCAATTTATAATTTAAACAAAAACCAAAATAAAATAATTTCAAATATTATGGAAAACAAAAGGAAAATATACATGAATTAAGTGTTTTAAACTAGTAAATAATTTCTTTTCATGTCACAATTAAATAGACCCAAAATACAAGACAGTAAAAGGAAGGAGGTATTGGCAATCAAGCAGATTTTCTGATGAGGAAGCATAGATAGGATACCTACCACATACATGCACTCATTGATAAGAAAATCTTCAAGTTCACGTACATTTGTAATATCTAACTCCTGCATCAGTACATCATAGGGCAAAATCTGGGAAAGGACTTAAAAATTAGAGCCCTAGAATCTCAAGCAAACACCAAAAAGAAAAGCTGACTGGAAAACAAAGCAAGTGATAAATAAACAAAATCTTATGAATTGAATGCTACCATATTTAAACATATATATATATATATATATTATACGTGGGTGTAAAGACGACACAAACAAAATATAACCACACAAGGAAATCATAACAAAAATATCACATACATTTGTAATTTATATTGGCAGGGTAGTATAATACTTCATTCTTAATTTCTAATAATATATATTGGCGCTGTTTGGGAACCCAAGTTTGAAGCTAAAATAGTCTCAAACACTAAAAAAGTCAAATAGCCTCAAATAGTACCCTAAACCAATGATTTATATATATATATATATATATTTTTAAAAAAAGAAGAAGAAAAGCAGCTCGGCAATGGGCAGCCTACACTGTCACGTTGACAGTGTGGTGACAGCCTAGTCCACAGATAGTAAAGGACAATTTTGCCCCTTTAGATCAATTTTGAAAAAAGTGAGGTTAGGGACAAATTTGTCATTTCAGCTTCAAACATCATTTCAAACATATTTTTCAATATAACAACTCAAATAAAAATTCATCCCACCTTCCCAAACACAAAAACTAAAATAGCCAACTAAAACAGCCAAAAAGCCTAAAAAATAGCCACTTCCCAAACACCCACATTGTATAGAAATGTAAAGTGAATGTACATACACACTTGAGTAAAAGAATTCCATCACTCAGTCAGGTATCACCAAGTCCAACAAACATCTGGATCAGCTAAGTAAGGAAATTTTTGGGTTTGTTTGGTTTGTGTTTGTAGAGTAGTTTTTGAGATAAAAAGTACGAAAACTTGTTTGGTTTGTCTTTTTTCAGAAATGATTTTAGAAAATTGTTTTGGGGAGAGAGTTTTAAATAAAGTGATTGATTTGATGTGTACAAGAGAGAGAGTGATTTTGGAAAGTATGAAACCAAACAAAATTTTGAGATTTTTTTTGAAAAAATTTGTTTGGTTTGATTACACTCGAAAATTTGTTTGTAGAGAATTTTTTCCAAAATTTTTTCTGAAAAACAAACCAAACAAGGCCTTTATATTTATGTTTGACAACGTCAAATCCCATACATATTGTCACTGTTTTAACAAAACAATTGAATTTTAACAAACAAGTTAAAAATGTATGAATGTTTTAAAAATAATAATACCTTGTCTGTCTCGGCCAGTGTGAGCACAGTAAGTTGCTTAAGCTTCAGAATTTGATCAGGCACCAACTGCAGAAGATGACTAGCATTACCTAAAAAATCATGAACATTTCCAGAACAAAATTTCAGTCACAAAAAGTTTCTCAAGCACATCTCCATAAAGCCACTTTTAGTTCAAAAGAATAAAAAAAGAATCTACTAAATCAATTTCCAGTTTCTATTTTAAGTCTAATAAATTCAACCTTCTAAATGCCAATTAATAAGCAATAAAACCTTCTGTATAAATAGAACTCAGGTTGCAGCAACCATTCATGAACAATCAAATTCATAAATGGTGCAGCTTCTGTATCACATCACATGCTTCTAAACTTCAAAATTCATAGATTCTTAATGCCACATGACATGTGAGATAACAAGAGAAAACTGACAAGGAAAAATGTCCATCACTAAACTTAGCACGGGCTTCATGGGCTTCCCCTCTTGCAAAGGATATAGGAGAAAAAAGGTCTCTATTGCAATATATATATACATTTTTTATTTTTTTGTGGATAAATGAAAAAGGCCTCTACTGCAACTTAGTACACATAATCTGAAATCATCCTTGTGGATTTTATTACTTCCCAACCAGAAACACATAATCAGGATTTGATTCATAAGGCAGAATCACCATTACATATAGTTTGGAATTGAAGCTCGGACAAGAATTAGGTGGCTGACAAGCATAAGTGATTTAAATAATGCTCATAAATAGAAAATTAGCTTACCTTAAATATAAAACAGTATTTAGATGCATACCCAACACAACAACAAATGGAGGGAAAAGTATAACTGTCCAACAACAAATTGGGATAGCTCAAAATTAATTATTTTAACAATAATTAAATGGAATGCTTACTCTTGTAGTCACTCCACGTGCCATGGGCAAACAAACGAAGCAGATCAAGGTATACAGAGTGCTCAGTTCCTTGGAGCTGCATTCAAGTTCATTAGGTAAATTTTGAATTAGCCAGAGATTTCAAACTATTTCTGAAATAGAATTTACAGCTGCATTCAAGTTCATTAGGTAAATTTGAATTAGCCAGAGATTTCAAACTGTTTCTGAAATAGAATTTTCTGTAAACAACTGTTCTGACACTCAACTAACAAACGATCAACCAACAATAAATGAAAACTGAAAGATGCACTTAACTAGCACACAGTCAGCGATGAGCAATGACTTGAAAGAACAATAGCAAACTTAGCAACATCAAAATTTGAATGTGACACATGGACACACACAAATACACGCAGAAAAAAGAAGATAACAAGGGTATGGGCACAAAGAAACATCATCCAGCAATAAAGCATAAAAGCATAAAAGGTAAGTTAAATGTTGTGCATGCTCATGCATTTGTATCAAGCAATGGCAAACAAGAACCTCATTGGCAAGGTATAGACTAACATATTAAGTTGACCACTCAATTTTGACTCTCTGTATTTTCACTTTTGCTTATCTTGTTTGCTTCTCCAGCACTTCAATCCAACCTAGAGGCCTCATACTCTCTCTTTTAATTTCAAAGCATTTTCACTATAGAATGCCTAATAGAGTTGCCACCCATGTACATGAGGAATACAGAAAAACCATCCCTCTCTGTTTACAACCAAACTAGCTAGCACACTGATGCACAGCAAACACCACACGCAACTCCCTCAAGCTCACAACCCCTAAACCACCTTCCCCTTAACTCTCCAATCAGCCCAACATGAATTAAGCCACCCAAGGAAACCCAAGAATAGGGTTGATCCAACCAAAATTTCACTGTGTCCAAACCTCAAGAATTTGGCTTGTTCACCCCGCTCTAGGCACAAATACAAAGGGTGCTTAGAATTTCAACAATATTTCCCTGCCCACCATCCTCGACCACCTTGAAGACATCACCAAATCTAGATTTTTCCATTTCATTGTGTTCTACCATAATGAACTTTTCCCCACATTCTAAAACCTAGCCACTAACACCTCACACCAGAAAGCTACCATTCTTCCATGTACTCAAAACCTTAAACTCATCATTTTCTTATTTTTCATATAGAAAGTATCATTTATAATCAACATATCTAATAATCTAATAATTAACATAAAAGGGGAGGGTTTTTGTAAGCAAGAAAAAGTGCAATCATCAACGAAAAAAATTACAAAAGCTTAATGTAGCTTGAGTTGAGGGCATGAAGGGGAGAGAGGGAGATGATTTATTCATGCCCAAATGTAGCTTGAGTTGAGGGCATGAAGGGGAGAGAGGGAGATGATTTATTCATGCCCAATAAGGGTATTCCACTAATTTAATTAAATGATAAAAGAGGACAACGAACATTATAAATCAATCTAATTCATCCTCGAGATCAAAAAGCTATAATGTTTGAATGCATCGGGATTTGCGAGTTGCGGTAGCAAGAAAATTTGCAATGGCCCATATTACAGAGCATAATGTATATAAATATCTACTCAGCTGGCCCAAATGGGTTAATAACGCCGTTTTACGTACAATATAGTAGATCATAAAGAAACATAATAAGTTAACTCATTTAACATGAGATTCTTCAAAGATACTTATCGAAAAAACTAAAACAAGCAATAAATGAAGAAGTAAATATAACAAAATTGTCTACAAATATGCATGATGGATGTATAATCAACTGATCAATATTCAACAGCACTATCTTTGAGATTCCCCCTAAAGTAGCATATGTTGGTCAGACTACGGCGATTGAAGGCATTTTTACCATATAATCTTATTAAGTGTGCGTTTTAGCTTCATCCAATTTCCAAAAAAAAATCTCAATTGTTTAAAAACCTTGTATTTTTTTTAATGGAATATTTATGGAATCTCCATGAATAGGACCAAACCTTATTCCACAACACGCATTTCCAATCCCTCATAGGAACATTTATTGCTATCTTCAGATAGTTGACAACAAACATAACAGCACTACTGTCGACACCTCTCCTCCACTGTATAAGATGGGTTCCATTGACTATACCTAGGTTGCAGCCCGTTAAGCATTTCCCTAATGACTTAATTTAGGGCAAGTTTGGGATCTTTCAAAAAACATAAAAAGTTACTTAAAAAGTTAAAAAGTTAACACTATTCACCAAAAGTCAACAATTACGACTGCACAACTCCCAATTCGAATTTTTTCCTACAAATCAATTTTTATAATTTTTTATTACACATTTTTCCATAAAAAGTCAAAAAGTTAACCCAAATATCTATATTTTCAACCTCAATTTTTTAGTCCAAAAAGATAAAAAGTACACTTATTTAAGACACCCCAAACAACTCCTTAGTTATCAACAAAAAGTATGTCACAATGCAAAAAAGTATATTATATGTAAGTAAGGATCTTAACTCACTCGATCAATTCCATTAGCCTGGCTCATTGACTTAAAATGGCATCCACCAAGCTCCAATGCCTAATGTAGTTAGCCTCATCTACTACCATATATTGGTTTGAGAGAACTGGTATGTAAGTTAAGTGAAAACATTATAGGGTATTTTGAATGTTTCAGATGCTTCCACAAACACCATAATTTCTCTCAATCCATCACCAACCCTCCATATACGTCGAACCGCATTAAAAGAATAACTATGGAAATCAAATTGCACAAGATACCAACAGCATAAATGCATATATCACAAGATCCTAATACACCAAAAACCAATTTAAACTAGATTTATGGAGCATCAACTGAATGACAACAATTTAACACAATGCCAAAACACTAGTATCACAAAAATGGACTGAAAAAAATGATTAAAAAACCACAAAACAAAAACCGACAAAAATGGATGTAAAAAAACTAAAAACTTATACAAATACTAAAAATAAAACATTGAATTTTAGGTCCTATGAGGCCAATACAAGTATATATACCGAACAAAAACCCACAAAATTTTTAGGTTTTGGACGACATTCAGACCTCGAGAACGTTTGGAACGGAGAGAATCTCCGAGAAAGCGAAGAGAGAAGGGTGCGAAGTGGCTTCAACGACGACGTTTGCGACAGAGACGCCCTTCTGGATCGAAGCTTGCTTGACGAAGTAATCGATGTGCTCTGCTTGTCTGTGTTCGATGTCCATCTTTGAATTTCACAACCAAAACAATCTCAAAAAAATCAAATTAAATAATAAAATTTAGGTACAAAAAGGGTTAGAGAACATTGAATTGAGAGATGAAACTAGAGGTTTTAGATTCGATTACTATAGAAAGAAATCAGTGGTGTAGTGATTCGAGGGTTTTTAGGGTTTTGAAATTGTGAGCAAGTGTTGTTCACGAATTCGCCTGACAGAGAGAGTTGCTTGTTGCCCTGTGGGTGGTTTCACTTTTTGTTCTGTATTTATAGTTGAGGTGCTTTTAAATTCCTCCCCATTTTTCATGGGTGATTTTACTCGCATCACTATTTTATTCCTTTATACCTTTTATATGAGTTTTTTTTTTTTTTTTTTTTTCTAATTTTATCTATGTATAAAATTACCTTTAAAATAAAATATTAAAATTAAATATATTTTGTTATCTCTTTACACCCTTTGATCTTTAATCAATACTTTTCTTTTTTCTTTCTTAATTTATCTTTTCTCTTACACATCTCTTTTTAAAAAGTAAGAATCATGATATTTTGATCATTAAAGAAAGTAATAGATGAATAAACGGTGGTGAAAAATTATAAAAAAAAAAATGAAATAGTGAGTTTTTTTATTTATTTGATAAGTTTTTATTTCGTTTTTCTGGACTAGTGTTCGACTTTCGTTCAATGGTTCAAAATCGAATAAAATAAAATAGTCTGACATCACATTGTCGAACAAAAAATATAAATTTGGTAATCAACTACCGAATAAAAAATATATTTCCAATAACTCCAAACCGAATTTTTTCAATTTGTTTGGCTTCTCATTACCATGTATTTTCAGTTTCATTTCTTTTTCTTTTTTTTTTTCTTTTCTTTTTTTTGCCTAGAAAGATTATACTTATACTCATTGCTACAACGCAAGTACTGTAATATTAGTGGACTCTAGTCATGAATTTATTACAGACGAGGTTTGTTAAATTTTTTTATTTATTTTTATGAATACGATTTTTTCTTATTTTTAATTTGTGTTCAGTTTTATTAATAATTTGACATATAAATGTATTTATTATCTTTAGATTTTTCGTAGTCGTGAAGCATTAATTAAATGGGCTTCTAACGTTAGGAAGAAGACTGGATTTGTCATTATTATAAAGACATCAGATGTGGGAGGCAATGGCAAAAAACTAATACTTACACTTGCTTGTAAAAGAAATGGTTACTATAGAGATAACAGAAAGATCAAGGGGGAACAATTGAGGTTGACAAGTTCTAAAAAGTGGATGTCTATTTCTCTTAAGGGGGAAAAATTATCTATAAATTACCAAGACGAATTATGATAACATATTTAATTGATGGATGCAAACAATAACAGATTTTATGAATGCATGTTTGATTTATGAATTTTTTTATGGATATTTCAAGGAAAAAGTAAACCTTTCAATGTACAGCGACGGGAGCCTAGACAACTCTATTGTAGTTTGGCAATATAACACTAGAGTAATCTCATTTGTATAACAATGTATCACTGAATATGCACTTCATAAGTTGCCCAAATTAATTTCTTGTTATTATCTAATTAGTCGGCAACACAATGTTAGGAAAAAAAATATTGTCCGGTAACATGGCACTGGAGTAATTCAAATTAATTAGCGTTGTATTACCGAACAAGCCCATCACAAATTAAAAAAACACCATTTGAAAGAAAGTGTCTCTGTAAATATATAGCAACAAAATGCTGGAGAGATACATCTATTTTTTCAGTAGCATAACACCGGAATAATATAAATTGTTTAGTATCCTGTTACCAAAATTAGTGGTGTAAAGAGATGAAATAGTTAATTTACGATTAATTTTGGTAATATATTGGGGGTGTAATGAGAATTACATTTTTTTTAGTAGTGTAATGAGATTGAGGGTGTAAAGAGGTTAAATAATGGTAAGTAAAATCACCCTTATTTTTTGGTTTAATTACACTAACACCCTATATATTTATTGAAAATTTACTTTTGGTCCATTTTAATTTATTTATTTTTATACTTTAAATTAAGTTGCAATGCCATCGTTTTATCCAGTACCTATTTTTAGCCTCCGTTTGAGATATGAGTTCGCCTTTTAACTTTTTGATTGTTTTAACTTGGGTTAAAAAGTCTCGTTTAAGATAGACTTTTTGACTTTTTTGACTTTTGTAAGAGAAAAAATAAAATGATTATGGTTTGAAGGTGACATTTTGTCTTGTTGATTTTTTAATCTATTTTGTCTTTTTATGTCTAAAATAGCCACAAAAAAAATTTATCCCAAACATAGCCTTAATGAGCTTGACAAAATTTTGAAGTTGATGGACCAAACTAAGGGCAAGTTTGGGATCTTTCAAAAAAGATAAAAAGACAAAAGTTACTTAAAAAATTAAAAAGTTAACACTATTCACTAAAAGTCAACAATTACGGCTGCACAACTTCCAATTCAAATTTTTCTCTACAAATCAATTTTTACAATTTTTTATTACACATTTTTTCATAAAAAGTCAAAAAGTTAACCCAAACATCTATATTTTCAACCTCAATTTTTTAGTCCAAAAAGATAAAAAGTGCACTTATTTAGGACACCCTAAACAACCCCTAAGATTTTTATGAAACAAAAAAAATGTTGCATATTGCTTACGTGGGAATCTTCGTCGACCTAATTAATATTAAATAGATAAAAAGATAATATTGCAATTTAACTTAGGCCTCGTTTGGGAATAAATTATTTTAGTAATTTTTTAACTTTTTAATTAAAATATGAGGTAAAAAAATTAGTATGTTTAGAATTACTTTTTGATATTTTTAAGAAAAGATGTGTAAAAAATAGAGAAAAAATGAAATCTTTTGACCTTTTAGTATAAGTTATAGGCTTTTTAATTTTTTTAGTAACTTTTTGATTTTTTGACTAAAACACTCGTATGCCAAACAAGACCTTAGAATGTAAAAATTAATTGTCACAATTGAAAGTTGAGGGGTCAAGGTAAAATTTCAATAGAAATAGGGTATAGCTTCTCTGAAATTGTCATATTTAAGAGAACATTTGAGCTTAATAAATCAATTTTTTGACCGATTTCGATGATTCGAACTGTTCACTTTTTAAGACTCGTCAAATAGAATATTAATACACAAAATTAAAATTATTGGATATTGGTAACTGTACGGGGAGGAAATAATTCTCCTCGTATAATCCTGTTGACCAAGTCCACGCTCCTCCGTACGACGTCGCTTTATCACCTGAAAACACAAACGTGAGCTAGCCGGCGGGTGTGTGCCGGAAACCTCTCCGATGCCTAAGTCAGTAAGCTTGACAAATAGACAATGCTCTGAGTTCTTAGAAAGAATTATGTTCAATTACCTCCTCCAAGGTGATGCTTGTGAGCTTTTATAAGTTTCATATGGCACAATCCTAGTTGGACTTGTATTTCTCCATGCAGAGTCCTCCTAGGATTCATACTCCAAAGGATAATGCTTATCCTTTTACACCCTCCCCCACTGCTTAAACCAAGTGGGATGGTTTTCCTCTTGGCCGAACTTCCACGTGACCGAAGTAAAATTGGCTATACCGAGCCACAGAGGGCCGAACTGTCCTTAGCTCGGTCTTCTCCTCTAACTCCTTACCTCGGCTGCCCCTGTTCAACCCTGGTGTGTTAGATCAAACTTCCAAGTAGCAAGTTCTGACCGACCTAACCACAGTATGTCACGACCGGACTAATTCTGAAACCGGCCTATCTCCAAGCTGCCTCCGGACCGGAGTAGCTTTACTCTTCCTTGGGCCGAAGTAACTATCTCTTCTTGAGCCGGAGTAATTTCACCTCCTTGGGCCGGAGTATCCAATACGGCCTTTTTTCTTAGTCCTTCGCGTTTTGGGCCTCAAAGCCCAACTGGCAGCTCGGCCAAGTTTTTCCCAGAAATTACCCTCTCAATTGCCCCTTAATTCCATCTGCGCAACATGATTGGGATTACCAGTCTTCTGGCCGAGCTAGAGTTTATTAAGCCTTTCCAGCCGAGCTAAAAAACCCTTTAGCTTTTCCAGCCGAGCTAATTTTACGTCGGGCTTCACTCTGTTCGGTCAAAACGTCTCTTCAGTCACAGCGACTGTAACGCTTCCCATTCCCATGACACGTGGCAGATTCTGATGGGCTGAGGACGGCTGTCACGCTGTCTTTCGTACTTCGTGAATTTTGAACAGTCCCCGCCACTTTTTGCCGCTCGTCCTTTTCACAAAACATCCCTTCATCTCGAATCATTCACTCACACTTTTCACATTCTTCTCTCTTCGTGCCCCAGCCTTTTCAACCTGCGTTCTTGTTCTTCTCTTGCAGCCACTGTCTTCATTTTCAGTCCCCTTCTCTCTAATCTGGTAAGTAAATCTTTTTTCCTTCCTTGTTTTTGCTTTTGTAAATGTTCTACGTATTTGTTTCTTACTTTCTATGTTTTTGCAAAACAGTTTTCCTCCATTTCTGCTTCGCTCCTTGTACTCTTTTGAAAAATTTAGTAAGAACTCATGTGTATGAACTATTATGTAGAAAAACCCGTCTTGGATCCAAAATCACATAGCAACCGAACTAGGATCCTGTTTGCCCCCAAATAGGTAGATCTCTGTAGTTAAAGACCGAACTAGAACTTTAGCCGAAATAAAATCAAAGGGGTTACCAGAGCCTAATTCGCTTTAGCCGAAATAAGATCACCAAGTTTTGAATATAGCAAACTAGGAATCTTGGTTATCAACCGAACTAAGCCTTTGGGGCCAAGCCGGCTTTCTTGGTTCTTAACCCGAACTTAGAAAGCCGCCCCTAGAGGCTTAACCGAAGTAACTCTATTCATACCACAACTGATTTAGGCCTTGGGGCTAAACCAGCTTTCTTAGTTTTTTAGACCGAACTCAGAAAGCTGCCCCTAGACGATAAATTGGTCTATTCTGCTCAAAACCGAGCTAACAAACCTTCTGATGAACCGAGGTAGAACCAGCCTACTAAGCCGAAGTAGGATTTGTATATCTTGCTTATAATTTGTAGCGCGGTCCAACGATCTATGCTTAACCCCTTTGTTTTCTACCTTGCAGACTTAGGTTGCCCAGGCACTCCTGCGTGTGCTCAACCGAGCTACTGAGCCAAATTTTTGTACCGAAATAATTTATTCGTAAATTATACAACAAATGGGTAAGTATAGGTATTTAGTCGAAACCCCTGGTGGCATGGCCTAATTTAGGCAAGATTACCAGATTCCTGATGATGTCCAACTGGTGTTGGCCAAGAAAAACATTAT